TATAAATTTGAACTGCACGTGGTACGAATAATGGAATTTAATGATTCAAAAAACGATAGTCATGTTACTGAGTGTAGTGTGAGACCGTATCCAGAAACGGACCTGAAATTTCGGACATCTTGTTCACGAAACATGACCGCAAACTAGCGTGCGAAGTGTTTTTAAATTATATAAAAAGCAAACGAAGTCCGAAAATCATGAAACTTGTTGAGATGTCGTGATATCGTATGTGGAGGCTTTGATAAAAATTTGAGAAGGTTTGGTGCACGTTGTCATGTACGATGCTTACAAACCAGGACATCTTCACATGTGATATCCCTGGATACGGCCTCACACTACACTTAGTAACATGACTATCATTTTTTGAATCATTAAATTTCATTATTCGTACCACGTGCAGTTCAAATTTATATTTTTTGAAAAAATTCAAGTAAACGAAATAAAGTAACTAAATATATCAAAAAGCCACAAAAATCCCCAAATTCTACCTATGAGTTCCTGGTACTTTAAAAGGGCTGCACAAAAAATTTGAAGGCCAAAAACAAAAAAACTTTGCCGAGTGCCGGGGCATGGCACTCGGCAAAGGGGGTCTTTGCCGAGTGCCAAGAATAAGGCACTCGCCAAAGAGGATTTTGAATTTTTTTTAAAAATTCCTCTTTGCCGAGTGCCTTCGCATGGGCACTCGGCAAAGACATTTCGAAAAAAAAATTCTTTGCCGAGCATCGTGTCAGGGGCACTCGGTAAAGTATTTTCCAAAAAAAAATCTTTGCCGAGTGCCAGATCTAGGACACTCGGCAAAGAATTTTTTTTAAAAAAAATCTTCTTTGCCGAGTGCTAGGCCAGGTGGCACTGGGCAAAGTATTTTCAAAAAAAAATCTTTGCCAAGTGTCAGTTCTGGGACACTCGGCAAAGAATTTTTTTAAAAAAAACCTTCTTTGCCAAGTGGCTAACAGCAGGCACTCGGCAAAGAAGGACGTGGCCGAACACCGTTAAGCGGGGCAGCCTATGCCGAGTGCCGCTCTTTTGCCGAGAGCCTGGCACTCGGCAACTTCTTTGCCGAGTGCCCTTTTTTGCCGAGTGTCCGGCACTCGGCAAAGAACTCTTTGCCGAGTGCAATTCTGTGTCGAGTGCGGCACTCGGCAAAGAAGGTCTTTGCCGAGTGCCCGATTTTTAACACTCGGCAAAGCAGTTTGCACTCGGCAAAGATCCCGTTTCCAGTAGTGAGGAGTAGTGAGAGGTCTCTATGTCCTTTTTTCTAGATCCTTAAAGAGAAGACACAACATCTCGTGGGTTCGTAACCACGACAAGTAATTAGCGGAACAATCGATGGGTCGATGTGTGGGACTTTGATGGTTAGCACTCAACACACGAAAGGTTTATCTAGTTCGGGCTTGAGAGCCCTATGTTCAGTAGCAGTTTCTTGATATTAGAATGCTAAAACAAGATCTTACACACTCAGAGAGAGAGAGAGAGAGAGAGAGAGAGAGATGATAGGACATCGTTAGCTAGTTCTGGGTTAGATCGAGTTGATCTCCCCTTCTGCTGGAGCCTTTGTCCCATCTTATAACTTGAGGGGCAAAAGGAGTGCAAGGAGTAAGGTTTTGTAACGTCCTTGACGGCCTCACACGGCGGAGCCATGCTGCAGCGCGGTGGCGGCGGGGCGGGCTCGCGGGACTCCGGCCAGCCAGTCTTTGGTTGTGTTTGTTCCATTTTCCTTTTTTTTTCATTGAATTTCCCTTGATTTATTGTGCTGCCCTGTGTGTTTCTTTGGAGATCCCTGGCCACCCAAATTCTTACCTGCTAGAAGCACAGATCTTGGTGCTGATGATTTTTTATGCTGTTCCACAGGTGTTGCTCGCAAGTTGTGTGCAAGCTGATGCTTGGTTGTTGACAAAACAAATCGACAGTCCATTGTTTTCACTACCGGACTCGGTGGCTTTGTCGAGTGCCAGGGGCACTCGGCAAAGTTCAATTTGCATTCGGCAAAGGCTTTGCCGAGTGCTGCACTCGGCAAAGACCACTCGGCAAAAAATGGGTCGGCAAAGGCGTCTTTGCCGAGTGTCTTTTGTCGGGCACTCGGCAAAGCCTTCGCCGGCAAAGTTAGAAACCGAAAAAAAACCCGAAAAAAATGGGAATTTTTACCCAAAAAAAATGAAATTTTTTTTAATCGGTGGAGGCCTCCACCGGCCAGCGCCCACCCATCTTCGGCATTTTTCGCATAAAATTTGTGCGATCTCCCCCTGCGCATGAACCTTCTCTACCACTACACCACACTTTCACTTGTGTATGGATTTCGTTTTAGTTCCCAATATATTATACTAAATCGAGTGTGAATTACTTGTTTGAGGCCCTAAACGAATTCAAATAAAAAAGTTGTAAATTATAAAGTTTCATAACTCTTCGAGATCTACACTTTTAGTATAGGAAGTTTTTCCATCCGAAGTCGTTTACAAAATTTGAATTTCAAAATTTTGAAATTCAAATGCAGTTTTGCATGACAAGATGATTTCAAATCAAAAAGTTACCAACTACAATGTTTCATAACTTTTCGAGATCTACAAAGTTTATTTTGGTTGTTTTTCCATCCGAGGTCGTTTGAAAAGTTCGAATTTTAAAATTTTGAAATTCAAACACAGTTTTGCATGACAAGATGATTTCAAATCAAAAAGTTGCCAACAACAATGTTTCATAACTTTTCGAGATCTACAATGTTTATTTTGGTTGTTTTCCATCCGAGGTCGTTTGAAAAGTTCGAATTTTAAAATTTTGAAATTCAAACACAGTTTTGCATGATAAGATGATTTCAAATCAAAAAGTTGTCAATTACAAAGTTTCATAACTTTTCGAGATCTACAAAGTTTATATTGGTTGTTTGGTTATCTGTTCATCCGACATGGTCGTTCTAACATTATTGACAAATCTTATATATTTCTCTTGTAGTTTCGTAAATTACGAGAGAGATATGTTAGATTTGTGAACAAATTTATTTTTACTTTGTCATATAAAGAAAAGACCAAAACAAACATTGTACATCTTGATGAGTTATACAACTTTGTAGTTGAAAACTTTTTCATTTGAATTAATTTACTGCTTCAAAATGTGCTTTGAAATTTTTTTTGCCGAGTGTAAAAAAAAACACTCGGCAAAGAGCTTCTTTGCTGAGTGTCAAAAAAACGCTCGGTAAAGGCGTCTTTGTCGAGTGTCCGAAAAACAACACTCGGCAAAACACTTGGCACTCGGCAAAGAGCCGGTCTCCGGTAGTGTTTCTTTTTTGTAGAGATTTTAGTGCGAATCTTCTAGCACTCTTTCATTAACATGGCTACAGAGATACTGCCTGCTCTTTTCTATGCAAGTGCAAGTCTACCAAGTGTTATTATACAGCTCGACTACATATGTAGCTGAGCGTATACAGATCGCTATGGAGTACTAAGCGGGCATTGAAACATCGATCACCACAGATACGTTCATGGGTACTGTAATAATGTTCTGCGTACTCTCTTCCTTTGCAAATAAATACTCCTACGTGCTGTATAGAGATCTGTTGTTATTATGTTGTAGACCAGCGAGAAAAAGAGCTCGAGGCTCTCCAGGAACGAAGGAGGCACAGAGTAAACCCCATTTTAAACCGGGCTGGAGCCATATCCCAAACCGCTGCATACGCTGAAAGAGAAAGAGAGGACAAAGATCCAAGATATAAACAGGAGCCAAAGCCACACCACACCAACTCCACCGTCTCGCCACAGGGCCACAGGTGCGCGGAGCGTGTAGCGAGGAGACAGGGCTAGATTGGGGGTAGTAGAGCGAGAACCAGACAGAGAGATGTGTTTGTGTGGCTACGGGGCGTTTGATATGGCAGTTTCGCTGCTCCACCAGCCAAACGGTAGAGAATGACTCCGCTCCAATTTCGGAGCCGCGGGAAACCCGCTGAGAGAGGCGAGAAGAGAGAGTAGGGGCCAAAAAATGTAGCTTCCTCCGGCTCCGCGACAGAGAGTGGGCCCAGAACCGGCCGGTGGCCTGATTTGCCCCCGAGGCGCGTCGGCGCAGGCGACGGCGGTGTAGGGGCGTCGCGGGGTGCACGACGACGGCGCGGAGCTTGTCCGGCGTCGAGGCAGATGTGGCGCGCCTGTGCTGGGGCACAGCTCATGCGGAGACATCGGGTCTGCCCCGGACAGCACAAGGATGGCTGGCAGAGGCACACAAGGATGCGGCCGCAAATGGCAGTGCTCGGAGGCACATGTGAGGAGGGAGGGAGGGCGGGCGGGCGCATGGCCACACAGCGCGCGTAGTGGCCGGAGCTCCGAACGCCGAAGTGGAGGAGAGAGCTAGCGTGGAGGGCAGAGTCAGCGCGGGCACGGGCGCGGAAGCGCGGCCCCATGGCACGCTGCGAGGCGCCGGAGGTTGAAGGAGATGCGTCGACGATAGGCTGCGTGCGGTTCGACCGAACAGACAAGGTTGGAAAAAAAAGAAAAGAAAAAAAAGTAAAAAGGATATTATGGACAATTCATTCTTTTGGATTACCAGATGAAACTGTTTTGCCAAACGATAAAAAAAAACTGCTTTAGCTTTCCAGATGAATCTGTTCCACCATCAAAGCCACGACTGAAACTATTTTGGCAGAAGCCGGAGCTCTATGAAACCCCTAGATCATCACCCTAAGAGCACAGGCACAGTCACAGCAGCCGCTTGCCTGCCTACATGCTGCTGCAGCAGCCTGTTGCCGCGCAGTGCCGCTGCCGATGCGTCAAAATTAGCAGCAGGAGCGTGCACAGTTTACGGCTATTTTTTTCTCCTCACTTTCTCTCGATTCCCCTATTACAGCTACAGCTAGAACACACTCTCCTGTAGCTATTACAAGCCACTAAGCTCTTGCTGTTTAACCTCGGTCCGGCAAAGAACCTACTGGAAGTCGGAAGGGAAAAAAGGAAAGTAGGAGTAGCTAGTAGGAAGCAAAGCCTCCCCGTGCAGCGAGCCGCCGACTACGTCGTCAGTCACCGACAGCCATGGACTTCGACGAGCACGATGACGGCGACGAGGAGATGACGCCGATGCCCGTGAGCTCGAGCTACGACGCGCCGATGCAGCCGGGGCTGGTGGGACTGGGAGGAGGCGGCGGCGGCGGCGGGACCCCGAAGCCCGGGGATTCTGGAGGCGGGAGCTTCAGGACGCCGGGCGGCGTCGTGGTGGGAGGAGGCGGTGGCGGTGGCGGGGGCGCGGGCACCAGGTACCGGGAGTGCCTCAAGAACCACGCGGTCGGCATCGGCGGGCACGCGGTGGACGGGTGCGGCGAGTTCATGGCCGCGGGCGAGGAGGGCTCCATCGACGCGCTCCGCTGCGCGGCCTGCGGCTGCCACCGCAACTTCCACCGCAAGGAGTCCGACTCGCCCACAGGCGGCGGCGGCGGCGCCGATCCCGCCGCCGCCCTGTCCCCGGCCGCCATCACCGCCTACGGCGCCGCCGCGGCGCACCACCACCACCACCAGTTCTCCCCATACTACCGCACCCCGGCCGGGTACCTCCTCCACCAGCACCAGCAGCTGGCGGCCGCGGCCGCCGGGCACATGCCGATGCAGCGTCCGCTCGCGCTCCCGTCCACCTCCCACTCGGGGCGCGTCGACGAGGGCGACGACATGTCCGGGCTGATCGGCCCCATGGTGGTGGCGCCCATGGTGGGCATGTCCCTGGGCTCGGGGGGCGGCCCGTCAGGGTCCGGCCGCTCCGGCTCCGGCAAGAAGCGGTTCCGCACCAAGTTCACGCAGGAGCAGAAGGACCGGATGCTGGCGTTCGCGGAGCGCCTCGGGTGGCGGATCCAGAAGCACGACGAGGCCGCCGTGCAGCAGTTCTGCGAGGAGGTCTGCGTCAAGCGCCACGTGCTTAAGGTGTGGATGCACAACAACAAGCACACCCTCGGCAAGAAGCCATGATGATCCTTCCTTCCCCGGCGCCGGCGCCAGTGCTAGCTAGTAGGTACACTACCACTGATCGCATTATATTGCGTCATCGATCTCCTCTCCTTAGCAGATTATTGCTAGCCTTTTTCGATTTGCTTCCTTCCTTTTAGGCCTCGTTTAGACGATGGTTGGGAATTAGTATTTGACATTGTAGTAATTTCGTTTGTATTTGATAATTATTGTCCAATCATAGCTTAACTAGGCTTAAAAGATTCGTCTCGTAATTTACAATTAAACTATGTAATTAGTTATTTTTTTTATCTACATTTAATACTCCATGCATGTATACAAAGATTTGATGTGATGGAGAGAGAGTGAAAAAACTTGAATGTAAACAAGGCCTTAGCTAAAAAAAATGCAAGCTAGCTAGCTAGGTCCCCGTAGCGAGCAGTTCTTGGATTTAGCTATGATAGAGAAGACGGCTGTTGTTCTTTTGTCATCTTGAGTATTTTATTGTGGTTTCTTTGGCTGTGTGTTTCCTAGATGAGACGATCATGACGTTGGTGTTGGGAAGGAGGAGGGCAGGGCATGGCCATTTGCCGATTTGGATCTTTGGAATGTACTGCTCCCTTTTGTGTTTGCAATTGAAAATTTCGATCGTGTCTGGGGATTTGGGTTGCATGGATCGTTTGTTTCATCTTTGTTTTCCCTCTCTCTCGTGCTTGGCCAAGAGCCGGGATTAAAAATTTTACTCCGCGGCCGGCCAGGCCTCCTGGGTCCGGCCATGGCGACCCTCCAGGGTCCAGGCTTTGCCAACAGCTAGGGCAGAACTCAGAAGCGTTTCCTAGTCTCCTACAGCAGCTTAGCCTGCTAATTGCCATGCCCATGCATGCCAAGTAGCAGCAGCAATGCACTACTGCATGCGCTTTCCAGCATCATCGATCGATCGAAGTGTGGCAGGATTTAACTATTAGTACTAGCATTACTGTGACCTGTTCTTGATTATCCGTCCATCTCCACAGCCCCATTTGCATGCTTCTCAGCTTCTTTTTCTCTAACAAGTTAATGCTGGTCGACCAGCTTCACTGTTGCAATGTCACTGCTCGGGTTCGTAACGTTGATGACGCCTCTTCCACAATTTGTGACGAGCAGCACAGCGAAAGCAGCTGCAGAAATGCAGACTCGCAGTAAACGCTGATGAGTAGGAGCTGATCGAACTCAATGCTAAGCTCGCTTTAATTAGTTTCGATCGGCATCCTCCTCCTTTCCGCTTTTACTCCCACTTTGCTGGTAGGAGGAGCGGAGTTTCGCATTCAATTCCGGTTAGTGCTCGGCAGCATTTATGGCTACATTCTTCGCCATGCGATATGCAGTGCAAGCGTCCATGGCGTCTCCGTATGGAGGACCGGAGAGGAGGCAGCCAGATATTTGCCAGCCTTGCAAAATCCCTAGCTAGCTCCCTCTTTGTTTTGGAAGAAAGCAAAGCGCGAGCCAGAGGACGATCCGCGCTTTCTGTCTCTCTCCTAGTCTTTTTCCGCGCGCTGGCGCTGCCTTTCTTCGTCCGGTTCGTATAGATTATAAGCCGTATTTTGTAGATGATGAATAATATTTTCCTCTCGTAATAAATTGATTAACAGTATTTTCAGTCATAACTTATCAGCTAAGCAAACAGCACACTGGTTCCGGGGGTCGCACGCGGCGGACGCTAGCTCCCTCCCCCGGCGCTGCGCAGGCAGGCTTTCCACACCGTCCGGCCTGCGACGAGCCGACGACCGCCGTCGTGGACTTCTTCTTCCTCAGCAGCGCAGTCGGCAGTCGGCACGCACACGCTAGTCTGGGGGCTGGGGCTGTGGCTCGGGCTGGGAACGGACGGTGGAGTAAAAAGCGCGCGCATGCATTGCTGCTGCAGTGCAGTGCGGACGGAGGTGGTTTCCTTTCGCACCGCCCCTCGTTAATGGCCAATCCGGGGTGTGCACGCACGGCCACGGAACGCGGAGCGGGGCAAGTGCGCCGTGCTGTGCGGTGGCCGGTGCCGCCGGCGGGCTCGCATGCAGAATCTGAAGGGGTGCACACTTTTGTTCTCTACTGCGCCTGCGCGCGCGGTAGGGGGAGAGAGAGAAGAGGGAAGGTCGATCGGGCACCACCGCTGGGACTGGGAGGGCGGCGGGCCGGGCTAGTGGGATCTGTAGATCGGCGTGGACCACGGCGCCGATCCGTGCCGTGCGCGCATGGGAAGGGGTCCCTCGGCGCGGCGCGGCGCAGGACTCCGTCACGGAGCGGGGGCCTGGGCTGGGCTGTCTGTCTGTCTACTTGGCTAGGCCGAGCGGCGATGGCCTGGCCGCCACAGGACGGCGTGCCGTGGGGGCCGGCACGGGAGGGGGAGGGATTCGCTGAGCTGCTGAGCTCGCGTTGCGTGGTAAGTACTGGCCGGATCCGACGTGCGTCCGTGGTCCATGCCGCGCTGCTGAATGCCGAGGCTGGACTGTCACTGGACGCCTGGGGAGTTTTTCCCTTGTTGACAACTGCATGCTGCTACTGGTATTCTGGCATCAGCTGCATTGGAAATTTGCTCGGATGTTGCCAATGGCAGCTGTTTGTTCTCCACTAGTTGCTCCCAGCCTCCCACCAACTTGGAAATTTGTTCGGATGTTTTGGAGATCTACGTATATGCTCTTTTTAAATTTTTATTAGACGTGTATGTATATGCATGGTGTAGTGAACCTAGCTTGACTTGGTTGGATGTGAGATGTGGTAATGCACCCTACTACCTAGGTTTTAAGTTTGGTCTCAGCTTTGAATTTGGATGCCGATTTTCTTATACTAATGAAAAACCTTATGTCTACTAGTTATCAACATTTTTTAGGTATATATGCATGGTGTGTGTAGGATATCTGTCATTCTCTTGCGCAAATAATGCAAGTTAAGATTATTAGCTGGCTAGAACTTTGCTCAAAATGCGTTTTCTATTTATTAAGTACTGGGGTAGACCAGAAGAACTAGCTTAAAGATGTGTAAAAGTTTGGTCTCAGTTAGATACTTGGGTTACACAGATAGATAAGTAGATAGCTAGCTGCTTCTTTGTCTGGATCTTGTATACTACCACTACTACAGAATCGACTTGTTGTCCCGGGCGGTAACAGCCTTTAGTCCCGGTTACCGCGCCGGGACAACGATCCCGGGACTAAAGGTGGAACCTTCGGTCCAGGTCATCAGAGAGGATTAAAGAGGACCTTTAGTCCCGGTTGGTAACACCAACCGGGACTAAAAGGCCCTCAACCATGAGCGAACTGGCGCAAGATTTTTAGTCCGGTTGGGGTTACCAACCGGGACTAATGAATTCATTTTTAGTCCCGGTTGGTAACCCCAACGGGACTAAAGGTTCCTTTCTTTTTTTTTTTTTTTTGTTTAATTTGTTTTCGATTCGATTACTACGTATTTGTTTAATATATAATATGTTTTTATATACGTATTCTACGTTGCTAATATAAATACACGCATGCATATAATTACATCTAATTCTCATCTTGAGTATTATTATATTTGAATAAAGTATGAAACTATATATATTATAGATATATATATATATATATATATATGTATATATACAACACTTTCATAATCTTGTTCTCGAAAATAACGATATCAATAAACATTTAATTTACATCATTTATTCCTTAAGATCAAAGTAGAACTCGCCGTTGGGATTTAGCACTTTTTCTAGAAGATATCCTCTTGTTGACTCTTGAGCTGCTTCGAGATGGTCTTTTGCATGACCCTTCGTTTCAACCATTCAGGTCTTGCATTTGAAATAAAAGGAAAAGTATTAATACACATATATGTATATATATTCATTTAAAATAAATAAAATTGATATATACGTACTCGAGGACATCTTCAGGAGTTCTTCTTATATGCTTGTGATGATAAATTCACAAACGTAGTATCCACACAAGTTATTACCGGTTCTCGCCAAAACACCCTGCATTTGAGAAGAAGATTATTCTCATCATCTCTCACACGTAAATTGAAGTACGATATAGTAATTAAACACGTGGAAAAGTGTATATAGTACAACTTATTGGTATTTCAACTACATTAAGTGGTGCCTTGCAATCCTTATGATGTTGCCGAATAAACTCTTTCCAAAACCCCGTATGCGACCAATAATGTACGATCGTTAATAAATTATGGCAAAGTCTATTCAATAATAGTTGTGCGCGAGAGATCGAAATTACCCCCGGATAATGTCTATCATATCTTGGTATAGTGCCCGTTCTTTTCTCAACGAGTCAAAGATTAGTAACCGACTTGAGTTTAACTCAATGACAATGAGTATCCAAATGAAAAGCGCATTGGTTTTATACACACGTACATGCATATAAGTTGTATAGATATTACATAAAATGTAGACTACATTATTATTAACACTTACTCAAAGTTGTACGGGAAAAGTATTGTTGTCTTGTCGTCTTTGCTTCACGAAGAACTTCATGATATTAAATGTATTCAGATACCCAAAGTGGTCATTGACAATAATATCGGTTTTGAATACGATATAAGGATCAATGAAGCCAACACTTTGGTGTCTTGTATTCTTTGGAGCTCGACATCCGGAATCTATATATAAATATAAGTTACATGTGAGGATAATTATATACACGCACGCATGGAAGTGAGTTTATTAAATAAAAGTAAGAATCACTTACAAACAAAAGGAGCTAATGATTGATTTGTCCGGGCGTCCAAGTGGAATAGTTGATGCAATTCTTGAAACTAATATGTAAGATGTCATCCATACGGAAGTAATGATGGTCTCTAAATCGACAAAGATCCACTTTGCTCACCCCCGCCACACGCTTTGCATGTACCACTTGTTGAGCAAGTACATTTGCGTATCCAATTCATTTGAGCCGCGAGGTTGTAACAGACTTTTGCCATATTTATAAGTCTTCCGTGTATCAACTTCCGTGTTCGGATTGGAGCTTTGCCCGTCAATTGATCCAAGGTTAAACCAGTATCTTAAAAAAAAGCAT